ACTATTAAAAAACTAACTTTCCTTTAGGACAAAAAAAAAAAAAAAAAAATCTAGAAATCAGAGAGTTTCAGCAGTAATGTGTGATTATTTCAAAGGGTGTAGTGATAAGGAAGTTATGTTTTTATTACAATTTTCTTCCCCCTGATAAGGTCATAACCTTGGCAGGGAATTGGCATTTAGTATTGCAGTGGCTGAAGAATTTAGGATTGCTTTGCATATTTATAATAATTTGTCACCTCCTTTAGGTAACAAGTGTCCACAGGGTAAATGGCTTTGTTGAACATTGGCAGTTTAAGGACTGCTTAAAACAGACGCTTTTCAAGACGTTTTTAAAAGTAAATAAGTCTTTGTCTAAGAATAAAACCAAATCTGAAATCTATTTACCTGAATTAGGCTTAAATTAGAATTTAGTGCTGGGATTAAGAAAATATCTCATTGCTTTAGTTTCATCATTGGGATTATGATGGAAATTCAGTGCTCTACAGAATGCCACCATAAACTTGAGCATCACTTATGTGCCATGCAAACCCTCTAGAGGTAATTGCCAGAGATTAAAAGATTTAACAGCTGTGCTATAGTATTAAGGATTGTAAAATAAAATAAGATTTTTTTTAAAAACAACCCAAACAAACAAAAAAACAAACAAAAAACCCACCCAAAAAAACCCCAAAAATCAAACCTAAAAAACACCAACCCAAGACACAATCTCTTGTCTCTTTTTAAAAACTCAAAGTTCTGCACCACACATGTTACACTGTCTTTAAATAAATATTTGATGAGTGACTGAATGTTAACTACTAGGCATTGGTATTGGCTTCAGTATTGCAAAAATCTTCAATCACAGTTTCCCTTCTCTCTGAACATTCGTCCAACATGCACTGCTTTTGTGCTTGTTGATATGGTTCCTCTACTTCCTCTGTGGTTATAATTTTTATAATTTTCTTGGGGATAAGTTATCACTTAGTTATAAGCACTAAAAACATTACTACAAAATCTGGCTTTTAAAATCCACCTAGAGGAACGTTTACCCTTCCCACTTTCTAAAATATTCCTGTTACTGTTGCTGGCTTTGAGTAAAACATGCTGTTTCTGATCTTGCACCCATGTTTCCTCCTCAAAGCTGCTGTCAGGGAGCAACAAGAGGCTGCAGACCTCTTCTGCCCAAAGCTAGTGCTGACAGCTCATGTAGGTGATACAGAGGGTGACGTAAATAGGTTGAAATGGAATAGGAGGCAATCATCAATATTACACCTATAGGGTGCCTAACTTCCAGAAACATTGCAAAGGAATTTATGAAAAATGAAGGCTGCATCCACTTCATACTTCATTTTCATTAAATTGGATTTTACTGCATTTTATACCAAAAAGCAACCATTAATAGATTATACTCCTAGAATAACCTCACTCCTCTTCAGGATTTTTGTTAATGTGCTGGAATCTTGTTTGCATTCTACATGATGAGACGGTAGCAAATGTGTTCAGCTTTTACTGTGTACGGACCAATTAAAAAAATGCCCACCTTGGAATACTATTTCTAAATATTAAAACATTGAAGGTCAAGAGGAAAACACAAAACCCTTCTCCAAAACAGGCTGGATTGCATCTGTTTTCTCCCTGGTTTCTTGGTTGAACTTTCTCAGAATTTCAAAATTATATTTTCTAATATCATTACAGGACTGTTTCTGTGTACTTCATCATGGGTTTTCTTTCTAATCTGATTGTATTGCAACACACTGCTGTGTTAATTAGACTTTGTTTGACCACCTTTCCTTGGGTTAAGCCTAAGATATCCCCAGTATGTCATTTTGAAAAAGGCAAAGAGATAAGCAGAGTAATTTTAAGCCTTCTAATATTTACAGGTACATTCCCAACATTTTGGCCATCATGTCTTTTTTTTTTTTTTTTTCCATAAGGCTGTGGAGGCTGAAATGTCTGGAAAGTGTCTGTAAGTAATCAATGCCTCAAAATCCTGGGGCTTATCTGTAAGCCTTGCTTGAAGGTGTGCACTCAGTATTTGGGAGCTCTCAAAAACATCTTAATGTCTCATTCCCTAAAAACTACATTTTAGACTGGTAGATCCAGGATATTGTATAGACTGTGTATTGCTTTCTGCCTAGGGCAATGGGCAGTGCTGCTGTACGATATTCTTAGTATCTGTATATGTGTAAGGGCAATCTATGTATCCTGCTTTATAACAAATTTTATTATTGTTGTCATTATTGTAATTGTTATTATTATTATTATTATTATTATTAATAATAATAATAATAATAATAATAATAATAATAATAACAATAATAGTAATACCCTCACAAGGTTCAGGCATATTTTTTTATTTCTACCTGAGTAGTCCCTACTTTCTCTTGTAGACCTTATTCTATCTATGCGTTCTATCTAGATCATATTCTGTCTATTCTATCTATGCTTCAAAAGCATCCCTGTTCCCCTGCTAACAAATTAGCCCAAAGTTTGAAATTTTAATGTCTCATTTGCTATTGTGCTTAATAAATGTTCTGTGGCTTCAACTTACTCTGGTATGATTAAGTGAAGAATCCTGCCTTCTTCTTGCAAAAGATCAGCTGTGTTGAAAAACAGGGCCCTCTTTTCTCCCCTTCCTTTCCCATCATGTCATTATTTGTTATTACAAGCATTAACTTTTTGCTTTTGCAGTGTTGAGGAGCCAGAAAAAAAAAGAAATTAGACAGGGATTACTAATGAAGACAAAACACTTTATCCTCTCAATAATCTGTTCTTAAGAGCTGTTTTTAATTTTAAAAATTATGCACCCCCTGCAAGAGATGGGAGTATCCATGTTTTCTTCTGACTGCTCTGGAGCATTAATTGCTGAGCACTGTCAAATTTCTGTTTTACCAATACTCTTCAGTCAGTACAGGTGCCAGTAGCACGCATACATAAACCGGAATATGAGAAGTGCTTTCACTTGGCTGACGATGGCTATGCACATTCAAACTGGTGTAAGTGCTGATTTGGATAGTTGATTACATACATATGCATATCTTTGGAAAAAAACAATGCAGCATAACTGGTCCTAAATCACTGGTGTGTTTCAGAGTAAGTGGCAGTAATCAGGAGCTTGCCAGCATCTTGTTTGGGTGACAGGGTGTTCCCCATGAGCACCAGGGCCCCTGTCACTACCCTGTGCAAATTTCCTAGTTTGTCAATGTAGTTTAAGCTTCAGTGTGGGCTGTGAAAGTTGCTCTCACACCACCGGGGCTTTTTTTTAAGTCTCTCTCTTCTCCAGAGTTTAGTCTAGACACAGATGACATAAATTAGTCCCCTCTAGGCTTGAAGGACCCTTCAAGAACCCACCTGATACCAAAGCATATGTCAATCACTTTTCAAATACATCACATGAAGGCTGTTTTTAGAAATTAAAAGCTTGTGTTCCTATAGCATCTCTAGAAAAATTCACATAGGAACGATGTGGGTCATCTTCTCCAATATTTTCTAGAATGGAATGGATAAGACATTCCATTCAGCTTTTATTTTCTCTGACCAGTAAAAGAAGTAAATGTGCTCACTAAGTGTGTAGCTCCTATTGAAGCTTCTGAGCAGTATAAGGTTAGAGAAAGTCCATGTTATGGTGGGTATTGCTGTTAATAAATACTGACTCATCATAAAGGAAATACAAGTAGCAATGAGATGCATTTGAAAATTAAATTATGCGATTCTCTCCACTGTTCTCCAGCAAGGAGAAACTCCGGCAAGTCTTCCTGAAGGTGCTGTGGGGTCCCATATCACCACAGAATGCATCTAGTAAATTGACAGTGGTAGTAAAGATACATTTGACCTTCCCCTCCCTGAATAGTCCTGGGAAGAGAGTGAATTAATAACTAAAGGAAGCTCTATAGGATGGGCCATTTGTTTTTTCATGCTCAGGATGAGAGCTCATTTGCCAGAAATAACAGTATACACAACTTCAAGAACTGAAGCTGTGAGGGAGCTGTAAGAATCACTCAGTCTTGTTTGCTTCACCTTCCTGATGCAGCGGCAAGATTCCTGTTTTTCTGGGCACCAATCTGTCTGTGCAGAGGAGGACAGGACAGGTGGTGGTTCTTGAGTGGCACTCAGATGTGAGCTCTCCCATTGTAAAAGCACCTCCAGGCCCTGCTGGCCAAAAGAGCAAGAGATTTACACTGTTAATCAACTTCACTATGTCCATGTAGGCAGAGCCAACAGGAGTCTGGCCAATGAGCAAGATGTGAAATAATTAAAATTTACTGAGTGGTTTAGATTTAGTCAGTTTGAATGCTTTTCTTGTCTGATTTTTGAAGGCAAGTTGTTTATCCAAGTGAAGTGCTTTAAGATACAGCAAGGAGCATTGACATCAGCAGAGATCAATGAAGGATGAAGAGATCTATTTAATCTAGGAAATGAGTGACTTGGGTCTTTGATCCTGTTTCATTCTTGTATTCCCAGAAGGTTAAATTTAGTCCTGCATACACAAATGCTGTTTGACTAAGTTTACTTAGGTTTTAAATATTTGTGGGTTTCTTTTGTTTAGGTTCTCTTGTATAAAAAGAAAAAAAAGCCCAACTGTTACTACATAATTAGGCTGTTGCTGTGTAAGCATGTGTAGGTCTTTTCAGACTTGAGAGTAGAATATGCAAATTCAAACCCAAACGCATTTCTTTAAACTTTCATACTGTATAATAGAAAGGAAGACACCCTCTGACCCATTGTATACAAAGCAGCCTCTGAAGTGGCATAGGGAAATCGCTCAAATTTGAATTAGCAAGAAATAAGTCTTGTTTAGCTCATGTTGCCTGGTACTTCCATTTTCCAGAAGTAAAGAAAACCTCATGCAGCCTAATGCAAAGGTAGTGCATTTGTTTCAAGACATAAAAATGTAACGTAAGCTTTAGAGAACACGAGGATAAGGCTGAAGTTTCTACCGTGCTGAAAGACAATATCAGGAAGAATTCTCATAATACTTTGTCTAGGAAGGCTAGTTGCTTTGGTGTAAAAATAAACAGATATCAAAGCAAGAGGGTTTTTTTTATTATTTACATTTATCTTAACTGCAGCAAGCCATAGCAGGTGCTAGCATGAGATGAGTTTTGGTGCTTCTTGCCACAGACTCGCTTCACCATGTGTCATCAACCACGAGTTTTAAAAATGCCTGAAACTGAAATATGCATTACAGTACAGAAAATAAAATCGAAAAAACAGGGAGAGGAAGGAAGTCTCATCAGGGAGACAAAAGTACAGCCCTTGCTTCCTTGCACATCCCTCTGCTCCCAGCCGCCGCCACACTCCCTCTCCTCCGTGCGCGACCCGGGCCGAGCTCAGCCGGGCCGGAGCAGGGCTGCCCCGCACACCTGCCACGGCTCCGGGGCCTCGCCCCAAACCCGCACCGGCTTGCGGCTTTTATTTTCGCAATTTTAAATTTACTTTCTCAACACCTCCTGCCTCGGGCTAACCGGGGGGCGCTCCAGGGGGCGAGGGCGGGGCGGCTCTGGCTTGCGGGAGCAGCGCTCGGTGCCGGGGCAGCACCGGGCAGGTGCCGCGGTGGCCCTGGGACCGCATCGGCGGGGAGATACCGCTGCTGGAAACAAGAAAGAAAGAAAAAGAAAGTTGAATAACCAAAAACTTAAATAACTAAAAAATAAGA